AGGAGTAGTAGTAGTAGTAGTAGCAATAGTACTAGTAGTACTAGTACTAGTAGTAGTAGTAGTAGTAGTAGCAGCAGTAGTAGTAGGAGTAGTTGGAGTAGTAGGAGTAGTAGGAGTAGGAGTAGTAGTGGTGGTAGTAGTAGTAGTAGTAGCACCCACAAACTGTCACTTCTACCACTGCTACCACTGCTGCCACTGCTACCGCCACCACCACCACCACCACCACCACCACCACCACCACCACCTCCACCAGCAGCAGCAGCAGCAGCAGCAGCAGCAGCAGCAGCAGCAGCAGCAGCAGCAGCACCACTGCCACTTCGAAGAGTAGGGTGCTGGCGCCTCGGCGATACAGCTCGACACTCCAACCCCTAAACAGGCAGAGCTTGAAAAAAAGGCACACCGCACCGAAGGTGCAACCCCAACATCTGGCAGTTGTGAACAAGAGTGGGGCAGCAGCAGCAGCAGCAGTGAAGGCATAGCACTGGACTGCTGACGGAAGACATATCATTGCCAATCATGTCGCTCGTCACCCCCGAAATGATCACTCTAATTATTATCGCCTGAATCAGAAACTACAACACTTAATAGTTGACTGATGGTAAAGGCAGCTGGCGTCTAAGCACTGAACCGCCGGCCAGACTCTTCGCGTGCTGCTTGAAGTAGGCGACATGTTTCGCACAGTCGAAATCGTTCAGTGAAAGGCGGCTGTCCGCAGCCATGGCAAATCACGGCCGCGACAACTTCTCACCAGATCATCATGCTATCATGCTATGGTCAGCGGTGCCGTAGGAGGACTTTGCACTAGGTGGCTTTAAGCTCACAACCTGATGGCGGCTATTCACTGCAAATGCTTATCCCAGCTTGGCTGGACAGGAATACCGCAATTCTTCAATTGCCTCGTTGATTGTCTGAAAGCTATAGACTTCGCTTACGAAGCAAAGTCTCTTCAGAAACTTGTGCGATGTTGCTTCTTCTGCTATGATTTCCTATCTGAGGAGCATTTTACAATCTCGGTGCAGACAGTCTTCTTCACAGCAGGAGCACGGACACGGGAGGCACTAAAGACCTAGATGTTCCTGGAGTTTCTTTCCTTCAGGCATTCTCCCTGGTCTCAGAATCCACGTTGCTAACCTCTTCTTTGGGCCTCGACATCCAAATTTCAGAGCTCACAGAAGGGGATTACTGAGGTGCCCGGGCCAAACCCCTTCTTTTCAGGGCTCGACGCTGAGGGTCCAGGGCTTGGTGTTAGTTCTGGGTTTACCATCAACCAGAAAACCATCAACCCAGCAACCTACGGGACTCTTCTGCCTTTTATAGAAAGGACTATCACCAGCACCTGAGCACAGAATTGTTTGAGCAATTTTCAGATCCCAACCATGCTAATGTGGTACCGACAAGAGCGTGACATGCCCAAGCATACAGCAAACCGCGATGAAATCAACCGATTCGAGGCCCAAGGTTCCGCTCTACAGGCATCGAGGCTCAGGGAAGTTGACACATCCACCATAGGGCTTCCCGGCCGCCCCCTTTTTAAAACTAGAGCGCGTGCGCTGTCAGGTTCGCCTAGAGCGACAACCCTTGCGGCTTTCTTCGCAATCCGGCGCCAGGGCTTCAACCCACTTATAAGGTCAGCTGCCATCATGCTCACCAGTCTGCTCGGGCTCGGCTGCATCATCATACAGATCCTTGTCCTGCATCCTCACCATGAGATCACCATGTCACCATGTTCAGCAGCACCAGCAGCAGCAGTATGAGTCGCAGTAATGTAGGGGCCTTGATAATTAGAATAGGGTTTGGGGGCCCATTATACTGTAGTTTTTACCAAGGAACCCCCAAAACAGTATAGCCCCTATATTAGCAGCAGCAGGGGCTGGAAACATGCGTAATTTGTCTTAAAAATGTCCTTGCGCAAGGTTGGAGGGCTGGAGACACTGGTCCCTTTTGTGCTGGAGTGCGTGGGGAGCGTCCGATTATCTTTGCAACCTGTACTGTACCATCTTCTTGCGGCTCCTTGAGGGTTGCTGGGTTCTCTGTCCATGACCAATGGCGTAAACTAGCTAATTTCTGGACGCTTCTAGGCTGCTAACTGAGGTGATCCACTTCAGAGCCTGTTGAGCGGGTCGGGTCCAGAGGCAATCTAGCTTGATTGTTGTGGTACTCCCAAGGCTCAAGCCGTAAACCCTCAAAACATCCCGCAGTGCCTGCCTTTGCCTTAAAGTCTTAAGTTACAGTGGGCTTGACTGCCTGCCGCCATCTCTCACTTCAAAATGCTGGGTGTGAGACCCAGAAAGCGTGAAACCTCAGACCTCAGCAGCAAGGATCTGCGGCTTTTAGGGTTGAGGTTCAGGAATTGGCTGTGGGCAAAGTGGCGGCTTGAAGAAAGTATGAGGTTGATGGCTTGTGTGAACATGAAAGCGCCTTTCAACACAAAGTTCAGCTGCCAGGACTCTCAACCCTGAACGTGTCGCTTGGGGCCCTTCTGCCTAGACTTTGAATACCACAAAAAACACTTGAAAGGGCTATTTCTTTGAGATAGCTGGGTATCTTTGGGGCTGTGTGGTGCCGCACTTTTCGGGGACCATACGTCAAAACCCATCCAAGTGCTGAGCACTGCGAATCCCCCCACCCCCGCCACCAAAAGCCACAGGCTTGAAGCTGTATGAAGCAAGCCTTGCCAAGCAGACGTAAGAAGGTAGGCAATTTTTGCGGAGGTCAACTTAGCTCCCGAGAATGCTCTCGGAGAAGGCCTCTACTCTCAAGACTCGGACGACGGACACAGCAACGCCTATCAATACTATGAGGCCAAGAAAAGCTGGGGCTGACACCTGAGCTTCCTGCTGGAAAGAGCCAGACATGTCTAAGGCTTATGGCCCTGGCTTTTGCAATGTCTAGCGATTGCTACGACTAACTGTGATAAACCGGGTGCCATGATGTTACTTCGGACATTGAAACGTTTTTTGTCGGGCTTTGTAGTGTTGGGACGCATGAGCGGGAAGCTTTATGGGCCAACCCTCAGCCGTGAGAGGGCTCGGAGACCTGTACTTTCGGGCTTCACAAGTCGACCGGGGCAGGCCTCTGCAATAATTGAAACTCAGGGCTTAGGTCTGCGAGTCTGGGGGCTTCGTTTCAGGCTTGGGTCTTTGAGCTTTAGGTTTAATGCCCAGGAGACGCAAATCCCCAAGACGATCACAAAGTCTTGGTCGAACCATGGCTCCGCGCTGTGTTGTTTGAGTTTCGGCTTCAAGCGACTGTCTCCACGGGTGAGGTGCCCAAGCCAAAGAACTCTAATGGGTCTTGTGTAGAGTGTAGAGCCGGAAGCCACAAGCACCCTGGTGGAATCGGTGAACGCGCAGTCCTAGCCACCGGCTCCTCGACCCGACTGCTCTCATCAACGGCTTCGGAACTCTGAGGCCCACTTCGAAGATTCGAAGCCCTACCACAAGTTTGGATTCATCCCCGAGGCCCTCAAATCACCAAAGACCCTGGGCTGACACAATCAAGGGTCTGGAGCTTCAGTGTGTTTCGTGAGTTTAGTGGTGTTGGGCCTGAGCTTCAAGGGTTTTTGAGCACAGGGAGTTGGATCCGATGTCGCAAGTTCGAACTGGGATCTTCCGATAAGGCTTTAGGCTAGCTTTCAGGATTCAGTCAGTCACTTAGGGGTTGAGTTTTAGGGTAAGGCTTTGCGGCTTTAGAATTGGGTCCTGGACCTTAAACCCTGGTTGCCAGCGGCTCCTTCAGCGGGTCTGCAAGTTCGGGCACAGCCTGACCGGCGAGCGCTTCTCTTCGAGGACAAGTGCAAGGGTTGCCAGCTTCGGCTTTTGGAACCACTGAAACGAAAGTATTGCTTCTGAAGCTTGTGGTCTTACATCCTGCCCTTTTTGGTCCATGTGAGCTTGCCAGTGCTTTTTGGATGGTCAGGCTTCGTGTACCTACCTGCTTACATACGTACATACGTAGGTATACGTAGGTATGTACACGCAGACAAACAGACACATACATACAAACTTACCCGATTACCTACACACCTACCTACTTCCGAACATACACACACGTGCATGCATGCATGCATGCATGCATGCATGCATGCATGCATGCATGCATGCATACATACATACATGGGTGCGTGTATACAATCACATAATGTCTATGTATCTCTCAAAGGATTTTAGCTCGATGTCTTGAGGACGAAGGCCTGCAAAGCCGACAACACAAACTTCCAAAGCCATGAAGTCAAGAGTGCAAGTATGAAGTTCTGCAGCAGGGCTGGAGTGTCACAATAGCACATAACATCAAAGACCATCCTATAACCTGAGATAAGGCAGGGTAAAAGTGAAGGTACAAGTAACGGTGAAGGTGACGGTAAAAACGTAAAGGACGCTATCAAGGTCAAGGCGAAGGCAAATTTGAAGGTGAAGACAAAGGAGGACAAAGGTAAAGGCTAAGGTAGAGGTCCAAGTAAAGTGAGATTGGATACGGATAACATTCAGGATAAGGACAAGACCACGTCAGATGAGTCGGCGACCCTTGCGCTCCCGGAGGAACGAGGAACGAGCCGCCAAAGTGCGAAGTACAAAACCCACACCACAACGATTCTAGACTCTAGGCAATCTTCGGGCCCATGTTCGCACAAGCGCTGACGTAGCTTAGGGGGCCCTGCCTCGATGGTGTTGGTAAAAGAGGTCATCGCCTTCCACAGTGAAAGGAGTCAAATGTATACATGGCGACTCCTCCTCCTCGTCAGGGAGTTAGGCTTCTGGCTGAGGAAGATGAAACCAACGGAGCCTTCGAAACTGAAGTGCCGAAATCGAGGACTCCAGGGCCTAAGCACTGAAACCCAAGGATGGAAAGGGGCGACCGAAGCCTGCAGCTTCTCGCAAGAGAGTCGCAGCTCGCACAGGTCACTCCTCACGACTTCGGGCTTCGGAAATGTCTTTTTCAAGGTCAGAGCTGAAGGTTTGTGGCTTCAGGACATGGGACGCAGGGTTTTTTTCAAGACTTGTGCAGCAGGCCTTTACTAGTTTTTAAGGGCCTGTCCCGAGAATGGAAGCGAGGAGCGCATTGGAAATGGGGCTGACTCGCTCCCTCTCTGTTTGTTCCAAAAAGCCTACATTTCTATCTATTCATGCCCCTTTAGGAACAGGAAGGACTGGTCCGCAGTTGCATGCCTCTCAAAGTGGAGCCAAAGAACAGGGGCAGGTATGAGAGCTTCTGCGTTGCGGCCTTGTAGCTTTCACTTGCATCGCCATCGCTTGCAGGTAAACCCTGGATCTTCAAGCTCAAGCCGCTGGAAGCTTTGGTAGCGGAACACTCGGAAAACTCCCAGAACCCAAGCCTTGACCCAACTGCCTGGCAACTTCACCCACGAGGCCCTCAGCCCGAAGCCGCAGAAGCACGAAACTCTGTGTGTCAGGTAAGGTTCTGCAACTCCAAACTGCCGAAACCCTGCCACTGCCAGAGGGTCCATCGCACTTCAAACCCAAGACCCACACGGTCCTGAACTTCTGCGGGTAAACCCGATACTTCGCCTGCCACGCAAGAAGCTCCCCCAAGCTTGGAGGATCGAGGGCTCAAGCGGCCTTAAGGAAAAGGACCATGGTTTGGGTACTGCCCCCATACAGTAACACTCTATAATAGGGCTACTATTAAGGGCCTAATATATCCATAATATAAATATTATCCGACTGTTACTGAGTGGGGGGCAGAACCCAAACTATGGTTTAGGTCCCACGAAGCGACAGTCGCGATTACTATGTTCAGGTCCGGGTTCAACGTCAACCGGGGCAGAGAGCATGTTAAGCCCTCGACTGCAGAGACTCGGGTGTATTCCGAATACTGGGCTCCTTGATATTATAAGCACTTAAGTGAGGATTCTGGGATAACCCCGACATCGAAATAGAAATCGTCGGCACCCTGAGGCATAGCACCTTGGCAGCCAAGGACACATTCCAGCATTGGTACAAAGAACCGTGATCAGACTGGCAGCATTAGATGCGAGTGAGAAATCGTGAGAGTGCCCTCTGCATGGACTCCCAACCGACTTAAGCGCAAGTGGCTCCAAAGCCCACCAATCCTTGCGGAGAGTGTCGGCTTCACTTCTGGAGCAAGGAAATCGAATCTCTTAAGATAGGAGCCTGTCAAATGAGTAATGTTTTACTGAAGACGTCGTAAGAACCTTTCAGAAACCTCCATATTTCTATTCGGATCCTGCGAGTTTCCATTGCTCTGAGCCCAACCGTGTCCAGCCTTGTGCTGCGACTTGAAGGCCTGCAGATAGATTCGTAAAAGACATGACAATTTTGCGGGCCAAGGATGCACCAGGAACCGCACACAAACAAACAGTGAATGGAGCCAACATCAAGCGTGGGTGTGTGGCTGTCAGCCCAGGAGCAAACAGGCGATGTGAATCCAGCTCTTCGTCCCAGATCAACGAACAAGGCAGCGTTCTTCAGCACGCGTGTTGCGAGTAAGGAGCTGCCTCCCCTGACGCCAAGAACCCCATACCCTCAGCTTTCATCTCTCAATCGTCAGCCCCAGTTCGGCACCGGCCTGGTCAGAAAAGCCTTGGTTCCTGACCTGACGGGCAGAACGGTTTGAATCGTCAGACTACGGCTTTTGCGCATGATATCCGACAGCAATGTTCTAGATTTCTAGCCCACGTCAGGAAAAAACCTGTTAAATTACAGTTCCCGTAGTTGAGGCCCCGACGTTGAGTGAGGCTTGAAACCAACAAACACAAGCTTCAGGCTTGGATCAAGAATCCAGCGGTCCCGAAACGGGTCTTATAGTCTTAGGTGATTTGCAAATCGGGTCAACTTCACCTTCACGGTGGTGCCAGGCTCGGCTCTTTCCTGCTTTATCTAAGAAAGCCATCCACTCGTGCTTTGGCAACTGGCCCTAGCATCTTGAAAACTGTTCCAGCCACCCGAAGTCTCGAAGCTTGGAAATCTGAAGCCCTAAACCCTCAAGCCACAAGCCGACACCCTCAACCCTGAACCCTAAGCTCTAAC